AAAGGGAGGACATTCTAGATTTTTGAGCATAAATAAACTAAGGTAGGCGTGAACTGAAATTCTGAAATAAGTTGTCGGTTAGGATGGATTTTTTTAGGTGAGGTCGTAAAGTATCAACTGAGGCCGGTTCCGCCGGAGAGGTAGCGTCACTAAGAGCAGAGGTAAGTGAAGACATGGAAAATAGAAAAGATGTGGGTAAGTTTGGAACAAGTAAAGGTAATAAAATCCCACGAATTTAAGCCCAATGAACGAAGCCCAATTAACTTCCGAGGAGACTCTAACGAGTTTACATAGTGGAGGAGTACGGAGTAAACGATTAGCGTTAACCAAAACAAACTTAGAAAACGCGGCAACAGGTAAAGTTTAGGAAAATATATAGACGCTACTACAGTGTACAAAGTAGGCAGAATAGATTAAATGACATTGGGGCCTGACGCACCGGTTTTGCTGAGACGATCTGACCAACACGAACCTCCAGCATATTTGGATCAAATTCAGCCGACTTCCGTTTGGGTTCTGTCGCGACTAAAAATAAGTAAGATAAGTTAGACAATAGAAATGACAAACGCACAATAAGATATGAGAAAGGGAGGAATGCAGCGGTCTCAAACCCTTTGTGGTATGGAGGTCGAAATGCAGCCTGTAAGAACACTAAAAAATTAACAAATTTTTCTGACGGAGTTGGCATTTTTTCCTCTAGGTGACCAGACCACAGTGAGTAATCACAGGCGAATAGTTGGACTACCCTGGACAATAAACGTACTCCATCGGCAGACGTTCACACAGCCTCTAATCATCTATGGCCACCGACTGCTGCTCTATGCCAACACCAAAAAGTCCCAATTGTCCTCAAACACAAATCCATGGGTGCCAAATGCATTGCAACGGCAACTAAAAAACCTTCAAATTCTCAACGATCATTTGATAAAGATCATCAGAAATGAATGCGAAAGTTCGAGGTTCAGGTGTTTGTATGAATAAAAATGGGCTAGTCGAGCACTGAAACGACATTTGTTTATTGCACTGAGCTTTCGAACTCGTGCCGGAGTCAGTCGTCAGAGATAACATCAGTAACAGAAGTGAATATCTATTGGCATCCCACCGGAAAATGCACGTTCTATTGAAATGAGTTTAAATGTGACGTTTTGTTAATTGAAACTAGAGGAGGTAATGCAGTAAACAGGACGACCGCAACACAACAAAGATGAGAAAATGAATAGTCCTATCCAAGGAAGAAAGCCTTAAAATACGCAAAGTTACCGATGTATGTAAAGAGGCTTCATTCCGCCACTGTGCCAGACAGTTTAAAGACATCGTTACTTCTTTGTGAAGCTGCGCTATTCGACTAGCCAGCAGACTGTCAGACGAATTTCTGCTCAGTTAACGAGTTGTCATTGGGTGCATGTGCCTGTGTTTGCCGTTGAGCCTTGCTCCCAAGGCCTAGATGTTTAATCAGAAAATACAGCGGAAACTCGGTTAACGAGATTAATCCGCTCCGACATATCTTTGCGGTAAAAAGATCCATAGACATTGTACCTCCTTCCGTAGGTATTCGTTTTGTCCCGCTCCCCTCCATTTAAC